ATATATATATATATATATATATATATTTATTTTTTAAATATATCTTTATTGAGTTCAGAGAGAGGAAGGGAGAGGGATAGAGAGAGATAGAAACATCAATGATGAGAGAGTCATTGATCATCTGCCTCCTGCACGCCCCCAACTGGGGATGGAGCCCGCATCTCAGGCATGTGTCCTGACTGGAAATCTAAGAGTGATTTCCTGGATCCTAGGTTAATGCTCAACCACTGAGCCACGCCCGGCTGGGCTGGATATGTTTTAATTGTAATGTTTGTTTTGTAGGACCTCCTAGCTTTTAAAAATACCTTGAAATATACATGAAGATATTGGAATTGCTTACTTTTCTTCCTAGGTTTTGGAAAGGATGTTGGAGAAATGGGACTATGTATTTACAATAACCTAAAACTACCTTGCTAGTAGGTTGGAAAGATTTTCCTGTGGGCAGGATCTTTTACTTCTTTTATATGTTCTACAGTATTTAGCATAGTACTGAGAACAGAGTTTACATTAAAAAAAATAAAGACATTGTTGTATTGCGTCCAGTAGTAGTCAAGATCAAAACTGATTACTACTACTTCTTATCTGAGGTGGATAATTCATTTGTTTTAAGGCAAAGGTTTATTTTGGTTATGTAATTGCAGCAGAAGTCTATGAGTTGTTTTGGTTTTCAACTTTAGGAATCTTAGATCCTATGTATATTTGGTTTTCAATGTCCCAATAAAGGCTCATCTTGTGGGACAGAGAGACAGTATACCCCAGATGTGCATATTGTTGAAGCTTAATTTTTGCTTAAAATGTTGTGAAATGCTGGTTTGTTCTAGCCCAAATAATTAAATTATGTGATTCATTGTAAGGAGCCATTCAATTCATACAAATGCTGCTTGTTTTTCTCATGTGTGTGCACGGTGCTGCATATGATCTGTATTGTAATTTCTACTAGGGAATAACAAACAGAATTTTGCCTTTATGTCTCTTTTCTTCAGATCTCTTAACCTTTGCTTTTGGCAGAACTTGATTCTTTTTCAGATTTATTGAACAAGTGAAAATGTCAGTAGTTTTTACATTAGGTACGTGTGTATATAATTCTTGATTGCCTGTGGCTGCTATTGATGTGACCTGTTACTGTTTGTGGAGTTGTGCATCCTACCCGTATGATATCTTTTGTTCCAGAGTTAATGTTATCTTGCATGGGATATTATATATCTGTTCTGTTAGTGGTGTTTTTCAGGAATAAGTGTTTCTGCTGCTTTAAAATAATTTTTATAGCATATAAGGAAACTTAGAGCTCATCTAGTCATACTATTTATTTTATAAATGAGGAAATTGAGATCCAGGGAGGCAAAGTGATTGGATAAAGCTTATAACATTTGTTATTACCAAAATCTGGATTAGAATTTATCTAAATGCCAGAGACATTCCAGCACCTCCAGACCAGTGCTTTTCCCCTTATGTATATATATATATACAACTACTCTGTTTTTGTGTGTTCTTAAAATTTACCTTCTATTTACTTGATTTCCTGGTTATCTACTTCAGCTTTCTATGCCATTGTGATGAAGGTATTATGTTCTTATTCACTCAGTGTACCTTGAATGACTGTTATGACCAGGGCATTTCTAAGCAATGAGGATAACCAAGAAATACAGGGTAGATTTCCAGTTCTCAATCTCCTGGGGGAGATTGCCTATGAAATGGTTTTATGAGTAATAAAGTAGAGGTACATACTAAGTGTATGGGAGCATTGAAGAGGGTGGGTAGGGTTAATATTACCTGTCTTGTATATGTGTCAAATCCTATGTAATGTGAATTTTTATAGTAATTTGATTTTCATTAAATTCAAGGGTCTTGTGGATGATTTGGTAGAGGATGAGGCTTATAGTTTATATCTGTGAAATTATAAAGAGGCCTGGTATAAAGTTGTTTTAAGCCTAGAAAGTAGTTAATGGAAAAACTTGGTGTGATATTGTCGCTTCACCTGGTTAACTTTTATACTGGCCAGAATGATCCAGTTGTAGCTTCGGATTGTGGACAAAAATCTTGAGCTGTATGTGATTATTTTACCTTAATTCATGATTTTATTATCTTTTTGGCCTTGTTTAACAAAGTCCAGACCATTGTCTGAGGTGCAATAAGTGTGTTTTTAGTGTAGTATTTTTGATAATGCTAGGACTTTTGATAACCATTTGTGTTGGAAAAGTGTGTGTGTTTTTAAACTATATTTTTTTCTTTTTAAATGCAGTTATTTGATATAATTGGTTGTTTGCAATATTTTCACTTATGAGGAGTAAGTTAGATGGGACTTTGAATCCTGATACACAAGAAAACTGTGTTGTTTACATCCATAGTAGTAATCTTTGATGTTGATAAACATACTTGAGGCCAAGTAATCATAGTACCATTATCATGTTATATTACTGATGTGTCAGGTGTTTTGGTAGAATCACCAAATTATAAATTAGAATTGTTGAAAAACATTTTTGTCTGGTCTTTGTTTCCTGCAATAATCCTCTCTAGTACTGTTTTGCAATGGAAAACTGTTCTGTACTATGATTCCAGGAACACATGGCTAACTATATTGCTTAATAAATAGCCAGGAGAAATTCTGCCAGTACCTTCTTGGTGATGAATGACATTCCAGGAAGTGTAGCAGTTATTTTTCTCTTTCTTGAAAGTGCTAATAGTAGTATTATCTTTACAATATTGAGATTTCTGTGTGCTGAAAAATCTTTCTGCATCTCTATCAATGTTATGGTTGCTCTGAAAGCTAACATTTTAGAGAAGATATTTGCAGTTCAAAAAAAACAACATGTTTGTTTTTGACATTATAAGTTTTGCCTCTAATGAGCTTTCCTAGCTTTTTAAGATGAACTAGGACAACAACTTTTATAACTTCTTGGCAGATGTACAGAAAGGGCATGTATTTGCAGGAAAAAAGTATCTGAGTAATCTCAGCTATGTTTCAACTTCCCAGTTTTCAAAAGTTGATGCAGATGTCCCATGTGACTTTGAGACGTTGATTGGTATTAGTGATTTTTCTGGATCATGCTGGGCAATGTAAATTGTTTTACGTTTTACAAGGATAATCTATGATTTAGGATCTTATAATTATATTTTGTATTTAACTCTTCATGATCTGTACTGATTCAAA